AGCTAATAAAAGGTATTTTGCTCTCACTGTCACTCCCTGCAAATGGTTTGAAGTACCTCTCCTTCCTACCTGCAGACCTCTCCTCTGCTTTCCTCTTTAAAAAACTGCTGCAATTAAAACAAGACAGTCCCTGCTAGCTGGGAGCATCTTTGCCCCTAAAGGATGACTCCAAACCACAGAATCCTGCCACTGCTCAGAGGCCAAGTCACAGCAAGACTAAAATGTTTCCAGCTGGTTCTTCATCTCTCCCAGCTCTTGTGGGCACGCTGCCTTTGATTCAGCAGTAGCCCCGGCCCTTCCTGTGGACATGGGATGTTCCCTGTGGGACACTTGCTGGTCACTGACTATTTCCTGAGTGTGAACGGTTCCCAGAGCACGCTGGAATCAGAGAGATGAGAGATGCCAAGATGTGCCCACAGCGAGATCCGATCCACGCTCCCATCTCCGCTGCCTTTTCTGCTCTGATCTCAGAGGAGGCAGGGGTCTGCCAACCGCTGGGACAGCCAGAAGGTCTAATAACAACTGGGATTAGCCAAAAGCCCAGGAAGGTAGCCAAATATCCGACAAAACGGAAAGGGGGCCTGCTCAGCCACGCGCCGCTCACCCAACATTGCGCACGGTGAACGTCGTCTCCGTGAGGCTGTGGACAGCACAGACGGGCAGCCGGACAGCCGCCGGGAAGGACAGACACGGGCGCGGGAGCGTGGCACGCAGGGTGACAGAGAACTCGCCCTCGGCCTTCCTAAAGCAGATGCTGTCTTCGTAGTCCCTCTGCGCAGGAGAGCAAGGGGAGACAGCAGTTGGATGGGGTCCCCCTTGCAGGTACCGCAGCTCCTCCAGCAAACACCCAGCACCCGACTCTTCCAGGTAAGGAGAGACCTCGGGCACTGCAGCACGTGCAGTGATCCCTCCGAGAAAGCAAGTCTCCTGCACCGAGAGGAGTTTGAGTGTTTTGCCACTTTACCTTCTCAGTGGGCCGGAAAATGATGGGCAGAGTTAAGGACATGCCAGGGCTCAGAGCAATCGGCTGCGGGAAAACGGTGATGAAGAAGCGCGTGGAAGGACATCTGGATAATGCAACCACAACAAGAGGTTTTGCCTGGTGCCATGCAGAGGATGCTAGTTTAGCAGAAAAGAGAAAAAAGTATCAAACGGCTCCAGCAGTGCCACCCCCCACCACCAGAAGGAACTTACAAAGCCGACCCCAAGGTCACTTTGCAACTCAGCAGGAATAGGAACAGAGCCCAAGTGTCCTGAAAACTGACTCCCTCTAAATACCTACCCCTTCCTTGAACAATATCTGACATTCCCAGGCCATGCAGCATGAGCCAAACACTTGGTGAGGGCAGGAACATTTGAGGCTCAGAGCAGGGAGTGTGCTGGAGTCCCAACACCCAGCGGGACTCCCGGGAGCGATGGTGTCGGGACACACTGGTGCCGGGCTGGCACACATCCACAATTCAAATCTCACTAGACTGGAAATGCCTCACAGACAGAAGTATCAGCAAAACAGAATTTTAAAGAGGCATTTCATTTAAAACACTCCTGCCAGGAACGAGGGCTGTGCATCTGAATGAGCATCTTTCTGTCCGGCCACGCCAGCGTGCGTGCGCTGCCTGCAGCACATAGCCCAAGGGAAGAGGGGAAAACGCAGCCGAGAAAAGCTGCTAAAGCGACTGCTAGAGCAGGAGGGGTGAAGATGCAGCGAGAGCCTGGGGAGTAAAAGGAGAAGGAAACTTGCCACGCACCTGTAGCTCAGCTTCTGGGTCTTCTCGTGAACGTTTTTCAAGATCAGGTGTTTGATGGTCTCTTTTCCAAGCTCCCAGCCGCGCCACCTGAGTGTTTCTGCCACTTCGATGCCCCAGAATACTCCCTTCTTCTTCCTTCCCTTCCTTGCAGACAGCCTGGGGAGCTGCAACAGGCACGGGAGCACTTTGTGAAGGAGGGAGGAGAAATCTCTGCCTCTGGCAAAGGGCGGGTGGGAAGAGCCACCCTGTGGAAAAGCTCCAGGAGTCACCCAAAGCCCCGTCGGGGACTCCAGGTCTGCTCCGTAAATCCAGAGGGGACACCTCCTGGCCACAGCCCAAACAATGGGTGCTAAAGGCTGGCATGAACTAGGGAAGCAAAATTTTTTTGTTGTTTTTCTCCCCTTTCCTTCTCCGCCAGTAAATCCACCCGTGACCACGGCACCCTTTGCTCCACCACTCACCTTCCTGACGCAGCCACAGCGCAGCTTCTGAAACGAGCCCGAGTCTGGGGGCTCCCCATGCGCTTGAGCAAGCATCTGAAAGGTGAGGGGGGAAAAAAACTCCGCACGTGCTGCTCCAGCACCCGAGCAGCCTTTGCTGCCAAGACCCGAGAGCTCTCAGGGTGCCACAGCTCCCTGAAGGGCACAGGCTGTGCAGCAGCCCCCCGGCACCCACCACAGCCCCCCACCCCATAGGGCAGAGCTCTCCCGGGGCTCTCACAGCACGGCCCTGCCCGGCCCACGGTGGTCCTGCTCATCCTGGCAGTGAGGCCGTGCCCCACAGCCCTGCTGTATGGCCCCAACAGCCCCCCATAGGTGCCTGCAGGATGCTCCCTGCAGCGGGGCGCTGCCCAGCTCCCTCTGCTGTAGTGCAGCCCCAGTCCATGGAGCCTGGCCCTGATCCCAGTTCCAATCCCAGCCCTGATCATAATCCCGATCCCAACCCCAATCCCAATCCCAATCCCAACTCAGATCCCAACTCTGATCCCAATCCCGATCCCAATCCCAACCCTGATCCCAATTATGATCCTGACCTCAATCCTGATCCTGATCCCAATCCCAATCCCAATCCTGATTCCAATCCTGATTCTGATTCCGATCCCAACCTCAGTCCTGACCCTGATCCCAATTCCAATCCCAACCCTGAACCCAATCCCAATCCCGATCCCGATCCCAATTCCAATCCTGATCCCGATCCTGATCCTAATCCTAATCCCAATCCTGATCCCAATTCCAATCCCAACCCTGAACTCAGTCCCGATCCTGACCCCAATCCCAATCCTGATCCCAATCCTGATTCCAATTCCAATCCTGATCCCAATCCCAATCCTAATCCTAATCCCTATCCCAATCCTGATCCCTATCCCAATCCTGATCCCTATCCCAATCCTAATCCAAATCCAAATCCCAATCCTGATCCCAATTCTAATCCCAACCCTGAACCCAGTCCCTATCCTGACCCCAACCCCAACCCCAATCCCAATCCTAATCCCAATCCCAATCTTAATCCCTATCCCAATCTTAATCCCTATCCCAATCGCAATCCCTATCCTGATCCCAATCCCTATCCTGACCCCAATCCCAATCCCAATCCTGATCCCTCCCCCTACCCCTATCCCGATCCCAATCCCGACCCCTACCCCTGATCGCAATCCCAATCCCTCCCCCAACCCCGTTCCCGACCCCATCCCCCCAATCCCACCCCCTTCCCATCCCATCCCATCCCATCCCGTCCCGTCCCGTCCCACCTCCGCTCCCCGCCCGCGCCGCGTCCCGGTGCGCTCCCGGTGCGCTCCCGGTGCGCTCCCGGTGCGGTTGCTGCGGGCACCGCTCGCGGCGTCCCCGGCTCCCGTGGCAACGACGGCGGCCGCCCGGGGCCAGCCCGTGCCGGGGGGCGGCGGGGGCCGCCAGGGGGCAGCAGGAGGACGGGATCCGGGGGCTATGGGGGCAGAGATTGGGGTGGGGGTGCCCAGGGGACTGGGGACGCGAGGATGGGTCCCGGTGGTGGTGCTGGCAGCAGGGGTGCTGGAGAGTTGTGGGGTGGTGGGATGGAGGGGGCGGCTGCGGGGCTCACGGGTGGGGTGCTGTGGGGGCACGGGGTGCAGAAGGCTGGGGAGCACTGGTATAGGGATGGGGGAGCCCCCCGATGCGGCCTTGGAGCACCAGTGACCCACAGAACAGGTGCCAAAAGTGATGGGGCTGGGGGTGGTGAAGGGGCAGGGGGGCGCAAGCCCATGGGGTATCCTGGGTACCAGTCCCGTGGGGCAGCACCAGCACCGTGGGTCACCCCTACATCCCCCCAGAATGTCCCTTGAGGTGCGGGAGACCCTCGTGTCCCCAGTGGGGACACCCAGACAGCCCCCCAGGTGTTAGCAGCAGCGGGGCTGGCAGGAGGAGACGCAGCTTTATGGCATTTCTCTGCTTTTAGGGCGTGAGCCACGCAGCCATAAATCAGCACCCCAACTCCTCCGCCCCCCCCAGCGCTGGCCGAGCGCCTGGCTCCTGCAGAAGCAGCCCCATAAATCTGTTATTTATGTTATTCAGCCACCAAACAAACCCTCCTGTGGCCGCCGAGGGCCTGCGCGCGACGAACGCCCGCCATCCATCACTTTAATGGCCGTACTCTGGAAATTAAACCTGTCAGCGCCCCTCAAGGTGAACGGTCCCAAGTCTGTGACATCCCTCAGCTCCCCTCCTCCTTCCCGGCTCGCCCTCATCTTCCCTGTCCCTCTCTGCCCCTGCCATCCCAGCTCGCCCCCTCCCCACGGTGCCCACCTCCACCCATATCCCTCTGTGCTCCCCTGGGCAGTTTTGGGGTCCGGACACTCCCCGAAGGGTCCCACGGTGCCCGGGGCTGTGCTGCCTGGGGACAGGGGAACCCATGCACCCAGGGGAAGCTGCTGAGCTGCCAGCAGCCACTGCGGGTCACTGTCCCCCCGTGTAGGATTTATCCCACATTCCTCTTTCCCTTCATCTCCATCCCTCCCCATCCCTCTGTCCCAGCCGTGCCTCTCCATGCGCATCCCTGTCCCCAAGCCCATGGTGCTTAGGGATCAGCCCTAAGGGGTGGCAGCAGGTCATGGTGTAGGGGCAGCCCAGCCCACCCCCACTCGTGCAGCCCCATAATGTGATGGGGTGGCACAGCAGCCCCTGGGGAAGCCCAGAAAGGGTGCAGAAACCTTGGGAAATTTGTGTATATATGGACACACACGTATATATAGGGTCTGCAAGGACCCTCCAACATCCTGAGGACCAGGGGAGCCGGCTCACTTTGGGGTCACAGCCTAAGCTTAGGGCTCCTGGGGAGGCAGGTGGCAGGGGGTGGCTGCTGTCACCCCACTCCTAGGGGTTGCTCTGAGCCCCCCCCGGGATGCTAGAGCAGCGGGAGGGGGCACACACCCTGAGCACCCCTCTTTATCCCCCCTGGTGCCCCAGGTAGGGCAGAGCCCCTGTCCCCTAAGGAAGAGCAGAGGCATGGGGATAACAGCTTTATAGGGGCGGGGTGTGGGGACTCCCCCAGATACACACAGAGGAATAATTACGAGTTAAATAGGATCCAAACACACATAAGTTAAAGCGGGGGGCAGGCTCCCCACGGCCCCCCTGCCCCGCACGGGCACAGTCTGTGGCTGCCAGCGAAGAGGCCCCCGACGCCTCAGCCCGGCCCCTCTTCACAACACGGAGCCCATCTTCCTCTCCGCGGCGCCCAACTCGTCCTCCTCCTCTTCCTCATCCTCCTCTCCCCCCGAGCAGGAGGAGTCGGGGCCGTAGCCCAGCTCGGCGGCGCTGCGGTGCAGGAAGCCCGAGCCGGGGCTGCACCCCACAAACTCGGGGCCCTCGCCCGCCTGTCCCTGGGGCTCTCCGGGCAGCAGCTTCTCACAGGCTTTGCCGAGCCCCCGCGGCTTCTCCGCCTCCGCCGTGGCCCCCTGCTCCTTGGCTTTGCGGCTCCGCTTCCACTTCATCCGCCGGTTCTGGAACCAGATCTTCACCTGCCCACGAGGAGAGCACCCGTGTCACCGGGGGGCACAGCCCTGTGTGGCTGTGCCCCCCCTGCCCCATCCCATCCCCACCTTCCCTGCACCAGCAGAACCCCCCCAGCTCCCATTTTTGCAGGCATCACCCCAAATTCCCACCCCCATACCCCCAGCAGCCACCCGTTCCCCCCTCCACCTCCCCAGGACCACGGTACCTGCGTCTCGGTGAGCATCAGCGACGTGGCCACCTCGAAGCGCTTGGGCCTGGAGAGGTACTTGTTGAGCTTGAACTGGTTCTCCAGCTCCAGGAGCTGCTGGCTGGTGAAGGCCGTGCGGGGCCGGCGGCACTTCCCCATCAAGCCGGCCTGCGGGGTGGCTGCAGGACAGACAGCGGGATGGGGATGGGGTCGGGGGTGCAGCGGCGATGGGGGCACCCCCTCGGCGAGCCCGGTGCGAGGAGGAGGAAGGCGAGCGCCTCTTCCATCGCCTCCCGCCCCAATAATGGCTTTATTGCCCGGCCAGATACGTTATCGGGCCTCGGTGTGCAACTGGGATCAGCCCTGGGACTGGAATTAAAGCTCCTTTTATTGCCGGGACACGCAGGTGTCTGCCCAACCGCCGAGGGCTGCGGTGCAGGGCTCCGTGTGCCCCGCGCAGGGCTGATAGCTCGCCCTCGGCCCGAGCAGGAGGCTGGGGAACAAAGGGGCCTTTGAGAGGCCGGCGTGGGGTGGCTCCCGCGCCGTGTTTGATCCCTGCTTATCTCCTCTCCGCTCGCTTTATTGTCCCCCCCTCCAGGGTTTGGCTTTTACTGCTTCTCCCAGCACCGCAGCGGCAATCAAACCCAGAGGTTTGCAGCTGGGAGTAAAGGCTTGGAGCGGTGCAGGGGGGCATTAACAGGAAAGGTCCTCAGCCACTGTCCTCACGGCACTGCTGCAGAGCCCCCGTTCCTCCCTCCACCAGCTCATCAGAAACCCAGGCATCAGCTCAGAAAACTCCTGCCCGGCTGGGCACAGGGACGCACGTGGCACAGCCGTGGGTTTGGGATGGCTGTCAGAGGGGGATCCATCTCCAAAACTGCCTCTGCTTCCTCAGCAGGTGCCCAGCAGCACCCGGCTGAGCTGTGGAGGGTGAGGGTCACTGCCCTCCTCATGGGGCACGGGGCAGCAGCAGCCACGTTATCTCCTCAGATTCCAGCTTTGATCCCGACCTGCCCATCTCCCGAGGTGTCCACCGAGCCCTTCACAAACACGGCGGTGACGCACAGCGCAGGAATTTATGAAGGGGGCATTAACTGAGCGCCAGCCAGGTCGGATCCCGGGTACCTGGGTGCTGGGTGGGACAGGTCAAACAGGCAGGTGTGGGGCCGGGCTGGGGCTCTGCAAACTTCTTTCTTGTGTGATGAGCAGGGGGTGGACGCGACCCCCCTCCTGCACCCGCAGAGCCACGGTGCCAAATCCACCTCGCAGCCTCTGGTCATTTAAACGAGGGGCTGATCAGAGGGATGCTGTGCCGATGGCGCTGACGTGCACCCAGGGCAATATTTCCCTCTAATAAGTGTTAGAGGGAAGGACAGCTCAGCTCTGCAGCTGTGGATGGGTCTCTGCAGACCCTCAGCAGAGGACACGGGATGGAACAGACCCAGGAAGGGCCCCTTCTGCCAAGGAAAGGGCCGTGGAGCTGGCTTCTCCCACCCCAACGTGGAGAGTCTTGGGCTCACCCCCTGAGCCCATGCCCTGGGGCAGCAGGATTCATGGCTCTGTGGAGCACAGAAATCCTCCAGACCTCCCCAAAAGGCTCCTCTGTGCTGCCTCCTGCAAGGCCAGATGTGGGGAGAGTGGAGGCACAGAAACGAGCCCTGACCCCAAAAGCAGAGTTTTCCACCTCAGTGCCTCCCATTTGGGCTCGGCACAATGGTGCCCACCACAGCCCGTGACTTTCTAGAATCCCCTAATCCATCCTGCCCCAATCCTGGCCAAACCAAAAGCCACCACCAGCATCACGGGGATGTTGAGAAGAGGAGGTGTGTTCCAGTTTGCCATGCAGAGGGGAAATGCCCGTCCTAACCGTGTGCCTGGTGCAACCTTCCCCTGCCCCGTGGCACGGGCAGCAGCCCCCCAGGGCTCACCTCGCTCAGCTCCCTGCCAGCCGAGCTGTGAGCACTTCTCCATCACCACCTCCACCCCACAGAAAGAGCAACCTGTCGGGAAGGCTCTCCCCCTTACCCAGCTCCTGCCTCAGCATCATGCCTTTGCTTGACAAAGGGTTTCCTACCTGCCCGGACATCTCCTGCGGGATCACAGCTCATCTCGGTGTCCCTTCAGCATGGCCAGGACCCTCTGATGGGTGCCTGGTGTTTGGCTGCAAAAATCAATGAATATATCGGCTGGCCTGGAGCTGAGGAAGCCCCCGACTCCGTGGCCGGGAGCTGTACAGGACAGCTGCCTCCCGGATAATTAGATAAAGCTTATAAAGAATTATTAGCTTATTTGATACAGTTCCGTCTACTTGATAACGAGCCTAATCCGAGGTTGCTATTAACCCACTTGGTTTTAATTTGGTTTGTTTAGCTACAGCTCGCTTGGCTTCGTGGGCTAGCAGATAAAGGAGAGGAAATGAGCTGGAGGTGCTCCTCCAGATGGCAGGGCTGGCAGGAGGAGAGGGGGTCCCAGGGCCAGGGGTCTGCCAGCAGCCCCCACTGCTCTCCATGGGACAGGGTGGGTAAGGGACCTTCCGAAATCTTCCACCCCCTGGTTTCCTCCATCGCTGGCTCCCAGTTGCTGTTTGCCAGCTGTTTCCCAGCCGATGCCAGACCACCGTGAACATGAGAGCCTCAGAAGGCACCAGCCAGGAGCCCCTAGAAAGGCACCCGAGCACCACATCCCCAGCAAGGAGCCCTGTGCTCCTCCTGAGAGCCTCACCACATCTCCCACCCTGCAGCTGCGCATCGCCACGCTCTGCTCCTCCAGCTGTCTGCTCTGCTCTCAGCTCCCAGCACCCTGCTGCATTTCCACACCGCCAATAAATCCCGTAAATACCGATGCAGGCAGCACCCCGGTGCCAGACGCCCTCCCCGAGCAGTTCAGGAGGGCAGCCGCTGCTCACAGCGACTCCGAGCCCCCAGGACAGGGACCCGGGTGGCTGCGGGGGGGACATGCCTGCTCCTTGGACCTTCCCCGCCTGCCCTCTCACTCCGCATTGCAGCAGAGGTGAGAGCAGAGCAAGCACACGCTGTGCGTCCCCGCAGAGCCTGCTGCTTCATTTGGGGCTGGCCCTCTCCTTCCACCACCCCCCTGACCATCCCGCAGAGACCAGACCACGCATCCCCTGCAAAACATCTCCACACTCAAAGCCAAAGCAGGAATTCATGATTTGGCTCAGGAATCTCCCATAAATACATCAGAAAGGTGACCTCCCCATAGGGTGCTCCAGAACAAGCCCTGGGAGGCTTTCGGATGCGTCTCTCCCAGCTGTCTGCTCAGTGCCCAGAAAAACATCCCCAGCAGCACAGAAACTTGTCCTCGCACACCCTGGAAACTTCATCCAGGCAGTTCTGTGTGTCCAGTCCGTCCGGGCTGGGTGATGTGACAGGGACACACGGACCACAGGCAGCCCAAGAGCCCTGTGCCAACAGCAGGAGGGGAACAGCCCCTTGTGCCTCAGCCTGCCCACGTGTAACTTAACGAGGGAGCACAGGAGGGGCTGATTTACGCTCATTCCCCACTTGTGCATTATTATTCGTTTCCAGCAGCCCGGGGTTGTTATTTTTCGTTTCCCGGTGCCGGTCCCGCTCCCTGTTTCTTTCTTTTCGTTTCCTTCCCGCAGCAGCGGGGCGTAACGATCCCGCGGCGGCCGTGCGGTGCCGGCGGCTGGGGGGGCGCAAGCAGAGACCCCCCCGGGGGCAGCTCTGCCCTACCGGCCCCGGGGCCGGCATCCCCCCTCCGTGCCGCCCTACAGCCCCAAGCTGGGGCAGGGCTGACAATGGGGCCAGATCCCCCCCCTCCGCATCCCGGGACCCCGCTCGGGGGTCTCAGCGCTGCGGGTGCGACCCCGCAAAGGGCTCCCCGCAATGGGGAGCGGGGCCGGGCACAGCAAAAGCCCCTCAATAGGGCCGGCCCCGTGGGTTCCCCACCTCCGACGGGGCGACACCGGTGAGCCCCAACCCCGAGGTTATTTTTTTTGGGGGGGGGCGGTCCCGGATCCCTTACCGTGGAAGTCGGAGAGCCTCGGCACCAGCATCCCGGCTCGGATCCAGTGCTCCAGCGGCAAGGAGCCGGCCACGGCCGCCTTCAGGTGCTCCGCGCCGGGCGGCGGCAGGTGGGGGAAGCCGGTGTAGGCGAAAGCGGGGTGCTGGCCCCCCAGGGCAGGCAGCGGGTACACGGCGGGGGGGTAAAGGGCCGGCAGGGCGCCGAGCCCGGGGCCGGGGAGATGCAGCAAGCCGGGCTTGGGGACGAAACCGGCCGGGGCGAGGGGCGCAGAGAGCTGGGGAGCCCTCGGCGAGGGGGTGTCGGTGCGCCCAGGGGGGCCGGGGCTCCCCGCGGGGCTGAGCCCCGGTGGAGACGCGCTCCTCGGCGGCTCTTCAGCCAGGAGCGCCTCGATGCTGAAGTTTTGGGATTTCTCCATGGGTTTGTGCATGGCGGGCCCCCCCTGGGCACGGCACGGCACGGCTCGCCTGCCAGGGCAGCGCCCGGCCGGGCAGCCCCGGGCCAGCCCCGGCACCGGCGGGCATCCACCCCCGGGCCCCCGCTCCGCTCCGAGGGGCTGCCCTCGGGGGCAGCCCTCCTCTCCGCTCCTCCTCCTCCCGGGCACTCGCTCTCCCCTGGCCACCGGGGGGGCTTTTTGAACCCCCCCTCCACCTGCCCCAGCTCCCCATTGGCTCCGCGCTGCCCCCCCCGCCCCGCCGGCCCGGCCTCCCTCCAGCCTCCGGTGTCCTCAGCCTCCGGCACTGCGCTGTGGGACCCCGGGGGGGCCCGATCCGGAGGTTTCTGCACCTCCCCGGCCTCGTAAGCTCCGTGCCCAGGGGGTCCCCAAGCTGCAGGGCTCGGTTTCCCCGGAGGACACGGGTTTGCTCGGATGGGGTGAGACCGGAGGGGCTTCAGTGCATGAACCCACAGCCCTGAGGGGCTCTGCCCTGCGCACCTCAGGGCTGGGAAGGCAGGAGAAGTGCCCCGTGTCCCCCTGCTATTTCCCATTGCACCCCTGTGGGACAGGGCGAGCCGTGGAGCTGAGCTGGGTGCATGCAGCGTCCCCATCCCTACATCACCCACGGCCATCCGAGATGCCAACAGGGCAGGCAGGGAGGTTTCTACCCATTTGCCCGGTCTCTGCCACAACCATAGCCCTGCTTAAGGATGATCAGAGCCAAAGGGAACTCCCAGCCCTGCGTTTCCTTCCCCTTCACCATTTCTACCCTTGCTGGATTCCCTGAGATTTTAGAGCGAGAGCCCGTTCCCCGGTATCCCGCATCCCTCAGAGGCTCGGAGCAGACACACGGGGAAGGAAGGGCAAGGCAGGAGCACACGCGGGACTTTCCCCAGCCTCCTCTGCCCGGCAGCCCCAGGGGTTTCCCTTCCTCGAGCCCATCCAGCCTGGCCTGGAGCCCACTGAGCTCCCTGCACCCACAGCACCGGGGTCCAAAGGTCCCCTATAGGGGGATAATTTCCTCCTTCCTTCGCCTGGAGCTTGCTCCATCCGTTGAGCAGCCCCAAATCTTTGGATGGGGACGGACACCCGACAGCCCTTCTCCAGCCGCCTCCCCGGGAGGGCAGGGATCAGCCCCACGGCCAGCCCAGGTCAACAGCAAGCAGGGCCATTTACTTCCCAATAAGAAGAGAAATCTAGGAGGAAAATAAAGGGAGTTCCCTCCTCCAGGAGAGCCAAACCCAGATGCTGGGGCCCTGCAAGAGATGCGCCCGGGGCAGGAGCGCCCAGCAGGCAGGGATGAGAGCAGAGCCCAGGAGGTGGCCAGCAGAAGGGGCGGGATGCGGGCGGTGATAGATGCCAGGGTGCTGATGAGTTCACAGTCTTCGGGGTCATTAATCAGATCAGAGCTGGATTAAGGTGTCCGAGGTCTGATTAGCTTCATTTCCAGCCCCAGGAAGGAGGGAACTTGCTTTCCCATCCATCAGGGTCCTCCGGTGACAGCTCACCTGGCTGCTAACTAGATCTGGGGATTGCGAGAAGCGAGCGTGGCTGGGGCCTGCTCCCTTACCTCTGCCCGTTGCAAAAGGGCCGGACACAGGAGAAAACACAACCCTGAGCATCATCTGAAGGCCACAGCCCCCAGGATATCAGCCAGGGAGAGCCTGACCCCATGCAGGGAGGGCCCTGCAGCCTCGCATCCTTCCCCAGCCAGCTGCCAGCACTGAGCCGCGGAGGGGGACAGGTAGAGTTTGGGAGCACAGTTCAGTTTTACAGCCCCGCCGTTTCCTCGCCGTCACCTTGGGGCAGCAACGTAACACCCCGCAGCACCGCCGACTGCCCCGAGATCAAAGCCCAGGGTGCCGAGGAAAACACACACCCCGATAAAAAGCTGCCGACTGGGACCAGGCTCCCGCTTTCCCAGGCTCAAGTCCTTATCCCAGGCACCCGACAAAGGCAAGGCCCATGCTGAGGCTGTTTTAATTTCCAATTAACCCATCATTTTGGCTGCTCACAGACCGTGCTTTAACACCAAGCCGTTCTGGTGGGTTTGGGCAGAGGCAGGCATGGGTTTGTACCATCTTGCTCCCACCAAGGTTTGAGTTGCTAAGTCTTGCAGGAGCTTCCCTGTCCCCAGGAGGCTTGCTAAGGATTTACTGCTCCTCCAGCCAGGGCTTTCTGCCTTTGGAAGTGACTTCCCCAGGTTTTTGGAGCCTTAACCATCACCTGTAGCGCTGCAGCCCTGCCCCTCGCAGGCCACCCCTATCTCCGGGCTCTGGGAAGCCGCAGGAGGCTGGTGGGGAAGGTAAATAAACTGCCAGCCCCGGGGTGATTTGTGGCAAAATGAACAGCCCCCAAGTCACCTGCGGGTGGCCCGGGGAGATAATGGCTCCTAATCAGCCCCACAGCGGTGGGAGCCGGGCTCTGCGGGGTCAGACCTGGCACGGCCAGCCCCCTGCCCCAGGCTGCTTGGTGGCCATCCCCTCTGCAGAAAGCACTGGTGCAGCTGCCTGCATGGCCCAGGGTTCCCCAAATCCCTTCAGGTGTCTCCCAGAGATGGCAGGAGCAAGTGCCAGACGTGCCACCAAAGCCATGTGTGTGCCTGCTCCCAGGCTGTGCCACATCATGTGCCCCCATCCCTGCCTGCACTCCCTTCTGCTTGGGGTCTGCCCATCCCGGGGGTCTCCGAGCCAGCCTCAGGCTGCGCCCTAAGGGACACAGAGAGAGATCCCCACGTCTTGGCTCGGTGAGGAGCTCCGCAGCCCCCTGCCCACCTCGCCCAGCCTCCACGGTCCCCCCGTGGTGCCAAGGTACCTGCCCCAAGCGAAGGGGTTAACAGAGCAAACCCCGCGCCGTCCCTCCCCGACAGGCCTCCTGCAGGGATTTCTGAGCTGCTGTTTATTTAGCCAAGCGATTCCTCAAATAAGCAGCCCCGGCTCTGCTGGGACGTGGCAAGGCTGAGCAGAAAAACGTGTTGGCAGCTCCCCTCCCGGAGCAGGGGGACGGCAAACGGGCGCAGGGAGGGCTGCTCGGAGCAGCGTGAGCCAGAGCAAGCAGTTGGATCCCAGCAGCTTTGGGATCTCCAGTTCCCGTTTGGCTTCCCGGGGTCCTGAGCTGCTCCCCAAAAGGGCTGGGAAGCGAGGCTGGGCCCTGGGTGCAGGGTGACCCCCCCTGCACAGCCTCACCCCCTGCTAATGGGCTTTCCGTGGAGTCAGCTCCCAGCCCCGCTCCCTGGGTGACTGGGTAAATCGGCTGCTCCTCCCAGGACCTTGGGCTCTAATTAATGTCAGCTCATTAAGGAGATAACGGCCATTTATTGCCCTGTCTCCCTGGCTGCTGATTAACCCTTTCCCAAGGCAAGGGTGGTGGCGGTGGCATGGGTGGCAGGAGCTGGCGACGTCCCTGCAGTGACACCCAGGGGTGCCTCGGGAGGAGGGGGGACAAGCAGGACAAGCAGGGCTCTAGGGCACGGTACCCCCTCCCGGGGGGGCTCAGGCTCTGGTGCCATCCATCACGGTGCGCGGTGGCTCCCTATTAGCGGCTGCTTAATCAGGCTGAGGGCTTCGGCTCGTTAAGCTGACACCTCCGCCGCCGGAGTGAGCCATGGGGGCACGCGAGGTGCCACTTATTTATTTGCTTCTTTCCCAGGGAATATATTAAACAAATTAAATTCCTGGAGCGTTGGGTCAGCGCCGATCGCTCTGCGCCTGTGCCCGGCACAGTTGCGGGGAGGGTCTGCCGCAGAGCCCGGCCCCCCCAGCCCCATTTCCCTCTTTTCCCCCCATTTCCCTCCCCATTCCCCTTCCCTGGCTGCTGGGAGGAGGTCTTGGAGGAAATGCAACCCCTGGCTCCTGGGTGCTGCTGCCAGCTGTATTCCTGGCTTTTTTTTTTGGGGGTGGGGCTGGTGGCGGGGTGGCACCATGACTCCAAAAATGTGGGGTTTAGGAGAACCCCGTGCAGCCCCAAAAGTGTTTTAGTGCCTTAACAGCGCATTGGCTTTGACCTGAGCGGAGCCCTAAGAAGGCTCTTTACCGAAACCCCCCCAGGGTTCAGGTCCCTTTGGGATGACAGCCGTGGGTGGGGGATTTGCCCCAAAATGAGCCATTTGGCGCTTTATTGGCCATTCGCAGCTCTTTCCTCTGCCACCACCCCTTCCCTCCCCATCCTGGCAGCGAAGCCTGTCCTGTCCCACCCCCTCCTTTTTGGGCAGCCTCTTCCCCTCCCAAATCCCAGATCCTTTCCACTTCAGTCCTGCTGGGTCCGGGAGCGGTCCCACCTTCCTCTGGCGGAAGGGCGACTCCCTGGAGGTTAGCGACGAATTAGAAATAATTTAATTTACCTCCCCGGCGGGGCGCTTTGATGAGCTGAAAGGCCCCTTGTCAGGCGGCGAATCCATCTTCCTCCAGCCTTACAGCAAATTTCATTCCCTAATTAGAAACTCCTGCCCCGGAGCGTGCTGCCACCTCCCCTCCCCACAGCCCCCCCGTCTCCCCAGCAGCACCATTAGGAAAATAAATCGTCCCCGTAGCCGCATTGTTGTGGCTGGGGGGCCCCGCCGGGAGTTATTGGAGCAGGAGGGAGGGCGGGGAGGGATGCAGAGGGATGATTTATGAAGGAAAAGGGCCCTGATGAGATCTTTCCTCCTCCCTCCTGCGCGCATACCCGCACACCCCAGCCCCGGGGCACCCCCCCTGGCAGGAGGTGGCTGTGGGATGCTAGCAGGGCTTCCCAGGGACATATCCTACAGGTCCCTAGCTCCCCCAAGCAGCTGTGGGATCGTGCATGGGATAACATCGCTGCCTGCCGCCTGGGGGGACCGCCAGCATCACCCCCCGGCGCTGCCACCCCATAGCCGGGGCTGTGCGACGGCAGAAGGCTGGGGGGCGAGGGACAGACGGGGGAGGCGGGGATGGGGCTGGGGTCCCCTCTTGTTAACAAGGCCGGGCCCTGTAACCTTTTCAAGGCGCTGAATGGGAGGTGGGAACCTCTCCTCCCCCGATTTGGGGCCGGGGGGGGGGAATCTTGGCTTGGGTTTAAAGCGCTCAGGCAGGGAGGGGGGACGCGCGCTGCCCCAGATGGGAGCATGTGTGGGGCTTGTCCCGCCGCCACATGCCCTCCCTCTCCCTCCCGCCCCCCATTCACATGGTAATGGGGACAAATTGATGGAGGGACATCCA